CTCAACAGCCACCGCCGCTCAACAACAACAACCACCGCCGCTCAACAACACCTACAAGGTCGGAAATATATGTAGATCTAGGTTTATTTTTTAGAAATTTATGATTATAATGATTTTTATGATGAAATTGTAATATAAGTTTTTAAATTTTGTAATTTAAGTTTGTAATTTTGCGGATTTTCGGACAATATAATATATAAATTGTTTATTTCGATGTTTGTGGTTTTTGTTCTGATTTGGTGGTCTCGATTTTGTTTGATTGGTTTTTGTGGTTTCGATTATTTGGTTTTTTTCGGTTTTTTTTAAGTTTTTGGTTTCGATTTTGTGGTTTTTGTGGGTTGTGGGGGTGGAGATATGGTGGTTGTGGGGGTGGCGAGGTGGAGATAGGGTGGGTGTGGGTGGTGTAAGGTTCGTGGTGTGTGGGTTATTTGGTGGTTCTGGGTTGGGTGGATCTGGGCAGGGTGGTCTGGGCAGGGTAGGGTGGGGTGGTCTGGGTCAAGGTGGGTGGATCTGGGCAGGATAGGGGTGGGGTGGTCTGGATGGTGGGTCTGGGTCAGGGTAGGGTGGTGTGGTCTGGGCAGGGTGGCATGGGGTGGTCTGGGCAGGGTGGCGTGGGGTGTTCTGGGCAGGGTAGGGTGGCGTGGGGTATTCTGGGCATGGTGGTCTGGGCAGGGTAGGGTGGTTGGGGTGATGGTGGTTTTTTTTTATTTTTTTTATTGCTATTTTTCGACGGAATTTCCGTCGAAAATTTCCAGCGGATTTTTATTCCGTCGGAAATTTCCGACGGACTTTCCGGTGGCCGGAACTGTCCTTCCTACGAGGAAATTCCGTCGGAAAACGCTGTTCCGACGGAAACAACCATTTTTCCTACAAAAGGTCTTCCGACACCACGTTCCGACGGAATTCCATCGGAAACAGTGTTTTCCGACGAAATTCACGGTGTTTTCGACGGAATTTTTCCGCCGGAAATGGCCTGTTTTCTAGTAATGCGCACCTGTAACCTCTCTTACCACTATAACCACACCACAATCCTTAACACAGGATCTTAAACCCCACTGCACACAACTATCCACATTACTATAGCCAAAACAACTAAGTAGCCTGGAAAGCAATACCATAACACAAACTGAGGCAAGTAAACTCTGATAAATACTAAGAACAAACATACTTAATAAGGGAAAAACCATAGGGCACCGTCCTAATCGAAACCCCGAGACCACTCCCACTAGGAACCTCAAAACCCTAACCCTAACTTCATCGTTTCCGTCACGAACCACTCCTGACGGCGGCGTTAGGCCTAGCCCTCTAGCGCAAGGACCCACGAAACCCTAACCCTAACTTTACCGTTTCCGTCACGGTCAAATTTACCAATGGCCTTTATGACGACGGCGTTAGGCTTAGTCCTTAGACCAATTGTTTCGCCGGTGAAGTTCTTTGATCGTTAGCCACCCTCTCAAAGGTGGGTAAGAGGGGCTCGTTTAGGACGACTTAGCCGCGGATTGAGTCACCACAACCCCTTCAAGACTGAAAAAAGGGGGCTTGAAAAATGAAAATAGGGGGACAGCTGGGAAGAAAAGACGGAGGATAAGAGGAGGCGAAGCCTTACCGGCGTCTACACCAACCTGAGGGATGGGGGGCAGAGGAGAGCAGGGGAAGGCGAGCAACGCTGAGAAGGGAGTGAAAGGCGGAGAAAACGGCTTAGATGGAACTAAAGGATGAGGAAACTCGTCGGAGAAACGGCTACGGCGCCGAATCTCCGGCAAGCACCTAGGTTTCCGGTGGGAGAGGGTTGCTTCTGTTAGAGGAGAGAGAAGAGAGCTTCTGTTAGAGAGAAGAGAGTCGTTCCATTAATCTTCTCTCAATGTGAGAGAATTTATTGACTAAAAGAGAAAGTGATGCATCTAAGGAAGTACATTTTTTGGGTTAATTCAACATTAATGAAATCCGTTAAAGCTAAAGAGAGTTTCTTTAGTAATTAATACTATTAATACAAAAGACAGTTGTTAGAATCCTAATGAATGTGATCACAAATACATTACATGTGACTCGACAATACAAACATATTAAGTAAAGGATAGACCATGGACATTAATATTAAATATATGATATGACGTCATGTCAATTTACACATACATCAATTACTTCCTCCGATTTTTTTAGACGCATCATTTGTGAAAATACGGATTTCTAGGCAGTTTTTGGAGATGAGAAAAAAAGAAAAAAAGAAAAAGAGAACAATCCATGAGATATGAGAGAGATGAAAAGAATTTATCAACTAAAAAGAAAAGTCATGCATCTAATTTGAAACTTGCTTATTTAGAAAATGAAGCATCTTAAAAGAAATGGAGGAAGCTAAGTAATATATATTTTTAATAGGAATCAACTAATGCTATTTCATTTTTTCATTACTCCCTCTATCCCTTTATTAGATGCCTATTTCTAGCAATTATTACTCACATAATAAAGAGAAGTAGGCATCTAATTAAATGACGGAGGGAGTATTCATTATTTCATTGAACTAATATTACACCTAACACATGACCTCAAGTTTACCAAGAATTTATTAGATCTTTGATCACCACCTCAATGAAACAATTAATGACATCAATATTAACAAAAAAAAAGAAAAAAATCTTGCTAATAATAAATTAAAAACTTAATGCTCAACTCATACTTTAATTTCAATTTTAAAATCTATTCGGTTAATTTAATGTTAGGTTACATAGATCTAAATTAATGGAGTATTACACTTATTTAAGAAAAAATTAATTATACTTAGTCTATAAGAACACAAACCCCTCATGCTACTTGTCACTTCTTTTAATTTATCGTTATTAATTTCCTATTTTTTTTTTTTTTTTTAAAAAACATAGCCTTAATTCAATTCATTTATTAATGCTGTTTAGTTCATTTCCCTAATTCCCTAACTTAATTTGTTCCACAAGTATATTCAATTATCACCCTTCCATCCCCACCTTTCCAAACTATTTGTTTTTCCCATAAAGATAATCTATATACAAAAATAACATTATATATCTATAAACAACTCATGCTTTACATGGATAAAAAAGCTAAGCTAGTTTAAAATTAAAGCAAATATTTGTTCACCTATAAGGTGACATGCAATGGTAAGTACAATTATCATGTGATTAAGTTGCTTTAATGAGAGATCTTATACCGTTTTCACACTGATACAATTTATTTTCATTTATATGGCCACGAGAAACACAATCTTGAATTCAAGTTATCTTATAAATTGTGAAATACATTGGTTACATTCTTTAACTTCACCTCTGCCTCCTTTAATTTCGTCCTCATTTTTATTGTCTCATATCGTAAAAACAAGTAGAAATGGCAAAGAGAAGGAAAATGAAAGTCCATTAACCACATTACCTCAAAGAATTATACATCGAAATACTCGCAAGATTACCTAAAAAATTTCTTCTCCAATATCGTCGTGTTTCCAAAATTTGGTGCTCTGTCATAGATGACCCAAAATTTTCTTCAATCCATTTGAAAAGCTATAAAAATAATATAAAACAACCCCACATACTAGTTCTAGAACCACCCAGTATTTGCGTTACTAAACAATTATGCACAATTCGTAGTGCAAACAAGTATAGAAAAATGTCTAGTCTTGAAATAAATGACCCAATGTTTAAGCGTTTTCACGGTGTGGGTTATATCAATGGGTTGCTTTGCATGAAAAATTTTGTATCGGAAAATTGAGTTCACAAATTAGTCTTGTGGAACCCTTCAATAGGGAAAGCTTTGGAGATCCCTTCTCCTCAAATATTGCCAAGAATAGGTATGTGTAGTGGATTTGTTATTGATTATGCATTTGGATTTGACGATAGGCTCCGTTTGTTTTGATGGAAAACAAATCTAATGGAAAATGAATTTCCATGAAAATCCATTTTCTGGAGAAAAACTCAAATTTGGTTAAGTTTTCCGTTGTTTGTTTGTAAGGAAATGTTGTTTGTAAGGAAATTCATTTTCCAAGAATCCTATTTTCCTTTGTATGTTTGGAAATTCATTTTTCATGAATCCCATTTTTCTTTCTTTGTTTGGAAATTTATTTTCCTTTTAAAACAATTTTCCTTTTGTTACTTAATATTGTTTGTGAACCTAATTGTTTTTAAATTTGAACCTAATTAATTTGATACATGAATAAATAACAATCTTGAAACTTTTATTAATTAAAAGTATATAATTTGGGCTTGTTCGAATCACTACTCCAGATAAAATTAGCAGATGAGGTAAACAAACTTCCTGTTATAGCCGTAAATTAAGCCAAGCCCGGCCCTCGACTGTAAGTCAAGAAGAGAACATGAACAACACCCTTGTAAATGATTTAAAAGCTAAAATTCTATAATTCTTCATATTTGATCTACAAATGTTAACCACTTCAAACTAATAATAAAAAACTTCTGCTAATACTCAAGAATACAAATACCCAAGCCAAACAAACAGTAAAAAAATAAGAAAAGAAAAACGGTTGTAGAAAGGACAGGGGCAGACCAAGCAACATATAGCGGCCAATAGCAAACCAGGGAGCAGGAGAAGCAGCTTCCAGCAGCCTGAAGCAGCAACATAAACACCAGGCATCAACCACGCAGCAACATAGCAGTTATAGCAGAACAACAACAGGAAGCAGGAAACAAAAGGCAAAGCAGAATGCACCAAAACCAAGCAGCAGATTGTAACCAAAGCAGTAACCTTGAAGACAGCAAGAGCAAACTACCAGAAATTGGAGTGAAAGCAGCAAGCAGACTTTAATGTTTATGGTCTTTGACAAACTTTTTGATCCAAAGTTTGCGTAGTGGCAAGCTTTTTGTCAAAAATGCTTTTGCAAGCATTTCGCGCTCCACCAAGTGATCAAAAGCCGTAACACACACCCCTTCTTCAATGTCCTCCATCTTCATAATTTCGTCATAAAGCTTCTCCACATCAAGTTGATTGTTTGAAATTTTTTTGAGAGCACTAACCACTTCTTGAAGTTATGCTGAAATGTGTTCCATTTCCGATCCTTCGTCAATTCGAGACCTCTTTCGATGTGGCCTTGAGCCCGACGAGGTACCACTCTCAGCCTTAGAAGGCACGCTATCAATAGTCATACTTGGTTGTCCACTTTCCATTGAAGCATCAACATCAATGCCGGCAAATGTCTTGGAGAAGTTCCCCCGTGCTAAATCTTTACCCACTACTATAGCCATCTCTTCATACATATCAATTTTTCGATTCAAAAACTTTTCACATTTTGGATATTCCTGCAAAAATAAAACGTTATTTGGGTCGTCTTATACAATAGCAAGTTGCTTGGTTAAATAAAAAACTTATTGTATGTATGTATATATAATAATAGGAATGAAGGCTGCTATTAGAATCAACATAAATCATATAAACTAAACTTTATAATCAAAATTAAACATCAAGAAATACAACATTATTTGAAATAGCCAGAAGGTAGGAGGACATGATTTGTTGTCATGCTTCATATTCAGCATATTATCCTACCAAACTCTCTAATCACAAACATTATCCCATTAATCTCTATTACTTACTGTAAATAGATCTCTAGACAATTGATCAAGCAGATTAATATATACAGAAAGAAAATAAATCTCATCATCATCTTAATCAATCAATTGCAAGAAATCGTGTCGTAGTAAGTGTAAATAAAATAATGGAGAGCAAGATGATGATGAAGATGAACAAAAATGTTATTCAGGAAGAAAGATGCAATCTTGATTAAGCAAATCAACATGTTTATAAAAGGTGTATAAAACAACACTACCTTAACATAAGTAGCATATGCTGTGGGAGATGCTGTCACCATCTTCAAGTTATCGTTCCATCCAAACCCGGAGTTGTTTCGGACTGTTGATATAGCCACCCATGCATTCCTCACAGTTTTCATATGATTCTCCACATGTTCTGAGGTGGAATTGGTTTGAAACTTCCCAGAGATAATCTTCGCAGCAGCCACAAAAGAACTTGTTCGAAAAGTATTATTAGGCCGGTTTCCCTTTTTAACTTCTTCAGCTAAAAAGTCGAGTAATTCTTTTGACATGTCCTTTGACCAACGAAAGTTGACCTTTTTCTCTTCTTTTATGACCTAAAACAATCACTGTAGCATTAGAATCTGAAAAAAAAAACATAATAACATATAAGAAATATAAAATTGAAACAGGATAGTAGAGTAATAACTTTAATAAGGTATCACATATAAAAAGTAGATAGAAAATACATAACCACTGAAAATGTTATCTTTAACAAGATAAACTGTTATAGAATATAAAATACATGATTAATGAACTAATTATCTAAAAAGATGCATAAGCTAAGTCCATCAAATTCGAGCCTTCTTGTATACAGTCCACATCGCCATTGCAATGGCCTTTCTCTTCCTTTCAATTTGTTGGTTTTCTTCTCACTCTTTCCCTCGAGTACGTGCTTTACCCATGTGTTGTAAATCTTGTGATGTCATCTCTACTTCAACTTCTCTTGTAATTGGGTCATTTGGGTCAACACCTCTAAGGTAGTTATGTAACACACAACATGCTAGAACTACATCTACTTGGGTTTCATACGGCCAAAATGGCTAGCATCCAAGACACGAAATCGCTTCTTTAATACTCCAAATGCCCTCTCCACAACCATTCTTAGTGAGGAGTGTCGAAGATTAAATAATTCACGTTCATTCTCGGGTGGATTGTTGGTATACTCTTTCAAGTGGTAGCGAATATGCCTATATGGAGGCATGAATCCTTTACAGTCACCATACCCCGCATCAGCAAGGTAATGCTTTCCTACAATTTAAAGAGATTTGTCATAGTTACTAACTTATAACCAATGCATAAAAAGGTAGAAGGCACAATACAATCATGGGATAAGTTGTTTAAAATTAACTTACAGTTATTTGATAAGTGCATATATTTTAAGGGGGCGTTTGGTTCCGAAAATGGAAAAGGAGTGGAAAGGAAACAAATAAGAGGGGAGAAACGAATCATTTAGCTATTACCTTTTCATTTGTTTGGTTTAACCATGGAAAGGGTATTTGTTAAGAGGAGGGTAAGGGTATTTGTTACCCCAAGTTTTTGAGAGGTAACAAATGAGGGGTAACCATTACCTTCAAACCAAACATATGGTAACGGTATCGGTTTAATCGAATCCGTTTCCAATCCAAAAAATAGACTAACCAAACGCCCCCTAAGAGTGACAATGAGTTGTTATTTTGGGAAGAAGGAGAAGAGGTGAATTCTTACAATATTAAGAGCCAAGAAACCAAATTGTTTTTGAAGGGTTACAAGATTTCTCCACTATTCATTGATGCCTATGTAGAGAGTTTGGTCTTGTTAAATTGGGAGTTACTCAAAGAATCTTATACAATTTCTCTAATTTAATTGTTTCAAGAGTAATGAAATTTAAGGTGTTGATCATCATTATTACTCTTCCTTTTGTTTATTTTATTTTCAAGAGATTGTTTTGGTCATTTTAAGTCTCAAGTTTTATTTTTAGCTTGTACCTCAGCTTTGAGCTTACTTTAAAAGATTGAGTAATAATTTTAGTTTGGTGTGTATTAAAATGTGTTAATGACTAGTTAATTAATTAAATGTTGCATCCATATATATATATATATATATATATATATATATATATATATATATATATAGGACCTGTTCGATATCACTGTAGTTTTTTTTTATTATTATTATTTGTTTTTTGAAATTCTTATGATATATGTCATATAAAAAAGGAAATTTTAGAAAATTACACCTGAATAAACACAAAATTTTGATTATAACACCAAAAAATATCAAAGTTTTATTATAACACCACTTAAAAAATTAAAATTTTGGTTTCACCACCTAAATGGTTACGACGTTAGAGGAATTGTTAGTTGGGCCCAATGCAACGACTATTTTTTCCAAAGTCTTATATAATTACGATATCCTTCACAAACATTCAACTGTTGATCTGTTTACACAAAATAAGGGTTCAAATGTTACGAATTCAACAATCAAATTGCCCAAATTGTTTGATTTAAGCATCATTGTTCGGGGGAGGAAGATTTGAAATTAGGTAATTGCGTCAATACCACTGCAGAAAATCCTAATTTATCTTTCTTAAATGTTATGTAAATCAATCTATGTTGTTGAATTAAGTGCATAATTCAGTTCGCATGTGTAAGTAATCATATAATTCGGACTTGTTTCATGAAGTATGTGTGTTAATTGTCCTCATATAAGCGAAAAAATGAACTTAGGGTTCATCGCAAAAATAAATTGGGGGTTTTGATTTTTCGGTTTGATTGTTTAATTTCCTTAGTTCATTTGTATGGTTTTTTATAGTACGATTGGTTTTGCTTATTGTGGATGGCATATTGATGCAGGAGATGTCTTTCAGAAGTTCCTCTCCTTTAAGGGAGAAGAAGTGCAAGTGTGGTGCTCGTTTTGCGAAGCTTACCAGTTGGACAAGGGAGAATCCTGGTCGGAGTTCAGAACGTGCAAGTTCTATGATGCTGTAACTGAAAGCAGGGGTTGTAAAGCATTTGAATAGGTGGATGAACCTGATGGGACAGCCTGGCAAACAGAGATGATCAACAATTTGTTGTTGGACAAGAAGCTGTTGAAAGGAGAAATTACTGACTATAAAAGGGAAGTTGATGATCTTGGTGGACAGATGAGGTGTTTGCTCAATGAAGTGGACAACCTGAGGATGAAATGCAAGGCTTTTTAAACTCAAACAGGAAGAAGATGAACAGATAAATGCATGGAAGAAATGGAAGATCAGAGCACTATGTTCTGTGTGTTGCTTTTGGAATTAGTTTAGTCATGTTAGTGATGGTAGTTATTGGGGGATTTGTAATGCTTAAAGTGTAATTTTTCCTTTGGCATGAACATTAATAGTAATGCTTTTGTAATGGTTTATAAGTGGCAGTGAACCACTTTTGCAAACTAATGTACACATATTTTGGAAGGAATGATTTAAGCAAGTACCTAAAAATCTGATATTGCATTGAAGTGAATGAGCAAATTAGTTGCATTGCTTAACAAAATAGGCTTTTAAAGCCTAACACCAAAGTATTACTTTAACAAAATAGGCTCCTTTGTCCTAAAACCAAAACTATTAGTTGAAAATATTGCATGCTAATGTTCAAAATATCAACCTAAAACTCTAGTTCAGAATAACAACAACAAGATTATTGAGTCAAATTTGCATGTTTGAAAGTCTCAGCTTAGCTCTCCTTGTCTACACTCCAGTCTGCTGAACTTTGTCTTTGTTTGTGGGTTCAGGTTGACTGGAAGAGGGGGTGCCTTGTTGACTTTGTAAACCTTTCCTCTTACTAAGTGGTTCACAACCTGGTTGCTCTTGGGGAAAAGTCTTGTTCCCAATGCTATTTGGACCAGCCTCTACTACACTCTGTGTTTTAAAGAGAAATAAAAAAAGTATAAACATCCAATTGCATCACAAAATATAAAAAATATGAACAAGTCCAAAAGAATACCTTCTTAGCAGCTTTGATCTCACTCTTCTTCCTCTACTCAACTACCCATGGTGAGTTTAAAGGGGGGCTTCCTGCAAATCTTTGCTCAGTTGGTTCAGGTTCAGTTGGGAGCTTGCAAGTCTTGGCATAGTGGCCAAATCCACCACAATTCTTGCACTGATTCTTCCTGTTCTTTCCTCCCTACTGCCCCCCTGCCGCAGATGTTCCCTCACTAGGCTCCAGCTTTCTTTTCTTCAATTTTGGTTTTACAGGCTGCACTTTGAAGGCTAGTGGCTGGGGCTCTCTCATGTTCACTTTCTCCAGTGATTTGGGCCTGGCATTGGTTGAATTGCAGGCTCATATGCTGCTCTGTAGCTGGTCATAGTGTAATAGGGGTGGACATATTGCTCAACATCACTTCTTTGATCCATTATGCATGCAAAGGCATGAACACATGGGATGCCTGTCAACTGCCAATGATTGCAGGAACAAGTCCCATTTCCCAAGTCAACTAGAACTTAGTCATCCTTCAGCTGCACTTCATAAGTGTCATCCCTGACAACTTGAACAATGCAATTCTTAGATACTTAGCTCATCCTTTGAAACATCTTATGAACATATGGATTCAAGTTGGTTGTGATTTCCTTGGAGTCCTCCCACTTCTCATTGTTTCTCCTCATCATGTACCTCCTCATCCATTCCATTTGGGTAAGGATAGGTTTGTCTCTTGCATCTTTAATAACTGCATTGAAAGTCTCACACATGTTGTTTAGTAACATGTTGGACCTGCAATTGTCACTGAATGCATGTTTGCACTAGTGTTGAGTGGGGATATTATTCAAGTAATCATAAGCCCCCTCATCAAGCTCCTTAATCCATTGCATTGGTATTTCATACTCAAGCTACAAACATAACAAGAGCAGTGTTCAAGTTTAAAACAATTTCACTGTTTAATTTGTTCAAAATAATCTAAGCTACATACTTACATGTGTTGTACTCTTGCAGCACTCCAAAAAAGCTCTTTGAACACTGATCTAGTGAATTTCAGCTTGAAATTCGCCCAAATATGCCTAACACAGAACCTTGTTTCTGCATTTGGCACAGCCTCAACTGGAGCTTCAACTAGTCCCTGTTTAACAACATCAAAAAACATTTATCATACTTCACAAAATAAAGAACATGAAACATTAAAGACTAGAAAAAAAAAAGACACTTTTACCTTCTGCCTGTCTGACATGAAGGTGAAGCCTAACCCATCTGCACTCCCAAGGCTTTGCATTAGTGACTCCAAGAACCAAACCCAAGTTTCCCTATTTTCAACCTCACATGTTGTCCAAGCAATAGGGTAAATGCTGTTGTTTCCATCCTTGGACACTGCAACTAAAATCTGCCCTGGGTAAGCTCCTTTCAAGTGGCAGCCATATACCCCAATGATTGGCCTACAACCCCTCAATAAACCATCTTTCAAAGGCCTGAAAAAAACATACATTCTCATAAACAAGGGAGGCTCAGGCTGCTCAATGCCATCTACCACCACATTACAACCAGAACCTGGGTTGTATTTCATTATAGCCTTCCTATAATCCCAGACCCTTGCATATTGCTCTCTTGCTGAACTAAAAATTATCAACTTAGCTCTACATCTTGCCATCCAAGACCTATAGTAGGTCACTTTAACCCCCAGGTCTTGCAGCACCCTATCCATAATCTGCTTAATCTTCCAGGTTGGGTTACTTCTGAACTCCTCAAGGTACCTCTCTGCAATGAACTCTGCAGTGAACTTCTTTTTCTCCCTACTTCTCACACATCTATGCTTTAACCTCATGCCTTTTATTTTCCAAGTCTGTTGTCTAACTAACTTCGCAGCATGAATCTTGAAATTGCACTTCACTCCACCCCTACATATACACAAAGGCATCCTACTTGTCTTTGTGTCAAACCTACAGCCATATCTATTCCTACACTGAATAGTAATCCTTCTACTATCATTGTGCAAAAAGTAGTATTCATACCTATTCTCTGTGGCATGCACTTTAAGAGCTCTTCTCAAAACAAAAACATTGCTGAACTTAAACCTATTAACAAGTACAACAGGCTTAGTGAAGTCAGTTTTCTCATTAAACCAAGGATTGTTGTCCTCTTCATCTGATGAACCATCCAAGCTCCTTAGGTC